GAGGAGCGGCCCGGGCAGCGGGCAGGGAGCGGCAGGGATCCGGGGCCGGCGCGGGGAGGCCCAGCACCGAGGCTAAGAGGCCCGGCGGCCTGCAGGCGGGTTTCCGGGGTGGCCGCCTTCCTGTCTCCGGCGCCTCGTTCCGTGACACCGCGCCCCCTGCGCTGTCTCCTCTCTGCGAGCGAAGTGGGACCCTTTGCTAACTTTGTTCAGCTCCTGGTGGTCGTCGCTTTCATCGGCTTGTCTACGTCTCCGCAGCCCCGTGCGGTTGACGGGCTGGTGTCCTCTTCCTTAACTTTTGTGGTTTTCACAGCGGTCTCTCGGGCGTAGGTAGTGTTCTTGCTGTTTTACAGATGATCCGCTAGGAGCTCGGAGAGGTTAAGTAACTTGCCAGTGTCACACAGCTACGGAGTGCAGAGGCGGGGCGCTGTGTTAACTAAGCCCTGATTCTTGGTCCAGGTTCTTGTTAACAAGGCTTGTGTCACACTATTGTTAGCTTTGGAGTTTGTATGCTCATCTTATCTCTACAACATTAAAATGGTAATCCGCCTGGTGAGCCACATTCTGAACAGAACCTGAGGCTGAGGTGAGCTTGGACTTGGGTCCTAGCACACCTTCCCTCTCCCTGGACCACTTGGATTTTTTCTTATGGAAAGAATGTTGAGTCAGAATAACAGTAGCCACACCTTCTAGTGCGTGCTTTGCACCAGACTGGTGGCAGGGCCCCGGCAGGGCGAGCCTGGCTTTAGTCCTCTCAACAGCCCCCCAGCGTGGACTCTTGGTGGCCTCTCAGCCCTGCAAAGGGCTTTATGGGCCCTAGCTTTTTGACTTCCCTTGCAGCTTACAGTTTCAAGGCCTCTGTGTCCATGGCAGACGATGAATAAAGAATGGCAGCGTTGGACCGGTGTGAGATGTTGGGTTGGACCAGGCGGCTTGCCCAGGGCCTGGCAATGAGTGCACCGGTTCTGGTTCTGGCATGGTTGCCAGTTACCACACCAGAAGCTCTTTTGGTTTAATTTTTCCCCCTAATCTTTCCAAATCTGGAGGCTGAACAGGAGAGCCACAGAGCACCGTGAGCACTGCCAAAGGCAGCCAGCAGCCAGGGCAGGGGGTGCCGTGGGCTCTGCTGCAGAAATGGCTCCCTGGCCGGTGGTCCGGACCATATGGGCGGAGAGGGGCATGGTGAATCCAGGCAAACATGTCTGAGCGGGGGTTGCAGGTGGGGCCAGTAGGACGAAAGCTGGAGTCCCCGTTAACACAGTGTTTTGACTGCAGTGTTTGTGACGGGAAGGGGGTGCTGGGGGCTCCCTAACTGTGGGCTCTTGGTGTTTACACAGTTGCTCGCTCTGGAAGTACCTTCACTGGCTACTTGGGTTCTTTTCCCCGGGAGCTGCCAGCAGCTACTGTTGAGTGATGATGCAGGGAGGGATCAGGCTCAGCCTCCCGTAACTGCAGCTCTCCGCTGCCCTGGTGGAGGGGTGTGAGGAGGCCTTTGGTACTCCCCAGCGAGTACAGGCCCTCGGGACCTCACCCCACAGGTGCAGGGACTCGTGGAGTTCAGCCTCGTTCCTGAGCTGGTATTTCTGGCAAGCCCCTGTGTGCTGTACCCCGCCGTGGCCTCACTGACCTCTGAGGCAGGCCCTGCCGCTGCCCCTTGCAGGTGGACCCAGGGAGAAGCCAGGGGCTCTTTGTTCATACTTTTGACCTTGCACGTGTGAAACACGTCATCAGGGTGAGGATTTGCACCTGAGAACTGCCCCCAGCTGTGCTCTCACCTCCTAGGTGGCTCAGAGGTTTACATTTTCTGGTGTCAGAAGTGTTCTCTGGCAGGTTCACATGTGTATTTACTTCCCTCATCGGCCATATTTCTCAGGGGCAGGAACTGTGCTGCACACAATAGGGCAGGGGAGGTATTGGAGCAGGTGTCCCAGGATGACACTGTGGAGTCCAGGGGACGGTCACAGCTATGGGCAGAGAGTTACAGGTCCTCTTAGCTGAGCGCTGCAGCCATTGCGTCCGCGGGAGAGGTGTCATCTTCCTGGACAGCTGTGGCGTGGTCTGTGTGTCTCCAGCAGAAGTCATGGCCAGGACTTGGGGGCAGGACAGGCAGGGTCCCTGCTCCGTTGCTGAGTCACCAAGCAGTGGGGAAGCAGACTGAGTTGAGTGAGACTGTGGCTGATTTTCTTAACCTTAGGGCACTAGGTAGAAGAAAGGTAGTAGCTTTAAGGGGTTAATAATTCCGCAAAAGAACTCTCAGTTTACTGTGTCCAGGGAGAAGCTACTTACTGCAGGTGACAGTTTCATCAACTTAACCTTCACACACACTTTAGAAAACATCGTAGAATTTGGGGTTTTGTGTGGGAAGTGAGGCACTCTGGGGTCTGAATCCACCCTTAGCCCCATCAGGGGATTGGCTCTGGGGGCATCTGTACGACAGTCTTGGTGACAGTCCCTCCTGCGGCTGGCGTGATGCATGTGAAGCTCACAGCCCGTGGGAGAGAAACCTGCGTGTGCCATCCGGGACTGAGAGCCTCGCTTGGCTCCTGGGCACGCCGCTGTCGGCCTAACCCGCCTTGCCTGGTTCCTGCTTCGCCCCTCTGTCTTACCGTCTCTCGTTGACCCCTCCCTCTGACCGTGGAGACTGGACTTGGTCTCAAGCACACTGTGCCTCTGAGTTACTGAGGGACTCCCTCTGAGAGGTGGTCCCTCTAAGGGTCACCCGGGAAGTGAGGCGAGTTGCACTGCTGAGAAAGGAGCCCTTCTTTGGGGACCGAAGTTGGAGGCCCTGGTGTTGGAGGAGGATTGTGTCTCGCTACATTTGTGAGGTCATTTGTTTCGATCTCCTTGTCCTCCTGGTGGCCTTGCAGAGTAGGCAGGATGGGTGTCCCCACCAGGAGATCAGGAGCCGAGAGGATGGATATGGCAGCTGAGAGGCAGAGCCCCACCTCTGCTCCCTGTGCTGCTCCTGGGCAGTCACAGCGACTCAGCCACACCCCGTGGACATGCTCGGGGCAAGATCAGAGGAGACTCAGCTAGTGCTCATGGCCTCCCACTGGTGGTCAGGTGAGTGGGGGACAGGGGACCAGCCGTGGCTGAGAGTGACATGCCAGAGGAGTGCAGGGAGAGGGCTTGCTTGTCACTTAGGCCCTTCTAGTGACCACCCGCTGTTGAAAGCCCTGCTTTGCCTCAGCTCGTGATAAGCGGTTTCATTTGTGTGTGGCCTCGGGATTCCTTGGGTGCGTTGAGGTGTCTGAGGTGCCCAATGAGCAAAAACGTCAGCAGTTTGAGACTTACATCACTTCCTTGTGAACTGAGCTCTGTGAATGTAGCTCTGTAGGTGGGAATCAGCGTGTTTTCTCGTGTGTACGCACAGCTTTGTGGTTGGGGTTGCTTTGTATGTATTACATGTCACGGCTCAGCCTCCTTGTCCTACAGATGGACACGTCACCAGGGATGTGATGTGTAGAGAGTGACTGTCACTCTTTCAGAGGGGAAGCTTTGCAGGCTGGGACAGTTGGGAATTACTTGACTCTGGTTTCTTTCAGAGGTGAACTCCAATGTCCGGCAATGGATGACGACAGCCTGGATGAGCTTGTGGACCAAAGCCCAGGGCCGGATGGGCACCTGGGACTCAGCCCTGCTGCCCTGGCCAGTGATGCTGGTGAGCCGACCTCCTATCCCTTCCACCCCGAGCTGTGGAGTGAGTGTTCATGCTTGCCCTCTCAGGAGCATCAGGGTCCTCCTGTTCGCTTGGTTGTTGGCTCTTGGAAAAGCTGAGGTCCCTTTTGGGGGCTGTCTCCATGTATTTTTTTTTTTTTTTTAAAGATTTTATTTATTTATTTTTCCCCCAAAGCCCCAGTACATAGTTGTCTGTCATAGCTGCACATCCTTCTAGTTGCTGTATGTGGGATGCGGCCTCAGCATGGCTGGAGGAGTGGTGCCTTGGTGCGCACCCGGGATCCGAACCCGGGCCGCCGGCAGCGGAGAGCACGCACTTAACCGCTAAGCCACGGGGCCGGCCCTGTCTCCATGTATTGATTTTCAACTTTTAGTCTTTTTTTTTTGTGAGGAAGATTAGCCTTGGGCTAACATCTGTTGCCAATCCTTCTCTTTCTTGCTGAGGAAGATTGGCCTTGGGCTAACATCTGTTGCCAGTCCTCTTTCTTGCTGAGAAAGAGTGGCCCTAGGCTAACATCTGTGCCCGTCCTCCTCCACTTTACTTGTGGGATGCTGCCACAGCATGGCTTGATGAGAGGCGCACAGGTCTGCGCCCAGGATCCAAACCCACGAATCCTGGGCCGCCGAAGCAGAGTGCGTGAACCCAAACACTACACCACCGGGCTGGCCCCGAACTTTCAATCTTTTAAAAAAAAATTATTCTTTGCTTTTAAATTGCAGAAGTACATCCTTTTGTCTTATTTTTAACACAAGCAATACCAATGTAAATAGAGTGAAAGGATGCTGCTTTTCCCTACCCCCGTCCCCACAGCCCCACCCACCACCCCTGCTGTTGCACGGAACCCCTTTGGCAGGTGCCTTCTGAACACCTCTGTGTGTCTGCGAACCAGCCCTCACTCTTTGCTTCCGCGGCTCTGACGCTGCCCTGGGCCTGTGTTTTCACCCCTATCGGTCTAGAAAACAGCAGTGACGGCAACAGTGAGGGCTCCGAGGATGACACGGGCAGTGAGCACAGTGACGGCACCGATGGAGAAGACGAGGAGGGGGACCTGGAAGACAGATCTGGTGAGATCACGCACGTTTGAGCAGCTTCTTTGTATCTCCTCTCTCTGTGACAGGGACACCATTTTTATAAAATGTCCTTAGTGAACTTGTGGCCCGCTGAGGGTTGGAAAAGTTGCAGAGAAAGCTTTGCACAGCAGGCCTCATCCAACAGTCCCCTGCAGTGAGTCCTCACCTTCAGACAGCTCGATGGCTCGCTTTTGTTGTAACTTTTCCTTTCAGAGTTCAGTTGACGACACAACTCGATAGGTCTCTTCTGTGGTGACACAGGAGATTAAAATGTCTAAAAGCGTGGAGCAACACGAACTGAGGTGTTTCCAGACTGGACTTTCTGGCAGAAGGAGCAGAGGGTGTTGGCGACCCCCTGCCCCCACACCTCCCAGGTCCGGGGCAGGTTGGGCATGACCCAGGGTTTGCTGTGGCCGGGACCACCTGACCAGGACTCTTGGCAGGCAGCTAGCCAGCTCCATCCTGTGGCTCGTTCTCGCTCTTCTGACCAGAACCCCTGAGAGAACTGCAAATGCATGACGTGCCTTTAATAAGAAATCCCCAGCACGTTTGCATTGGTTAACACCGTGCCCTTCAACTTTGTGCAGGGAATGTTACTTTAAAGGGCAGGTGATGCTGCCCAAGGGCCTTGCTGCTCCGAGTGCGCTTGCACTGCCTCCTTCCCCGTCCCTTCTGGCCACCCTGGCTGGTGCGAGGCCTGCAAGGTCCCTGGGCTGGACCACCTTGTCCCAGCCCAGCTGTGGTCACCTTCCTCAGAGGGAGGGTGCACTTGGCCCTCTGCTGATAGGGTGCTGACTTTGGAAGTTTGGCTCATCACTCCTTTCCTTCTGACGTAGTCGTCAAGTCAGCAGATGCGTGGTCCTAAAGCATCTACCATGATCTGTTTGTCACAGTCTTTCAAGCTCTGGTTACCAGCATTAGAATGTTCCAGAAAGGTAGCCCCTCATGTTTGGGATGGTGCTCATGAAGGAACGAGATTGACATGGCATGAGTCAGTGTGAGTTTACAGCTTTGTGTGTGTTGGAAATGTATTCTTCCAGAGTTGGATTTTGAGTTCTGAGCAGGGACGTGAGGTTCTGTCTTGAGTTTGCAGGTCACGAATGTGGCTCTTCTGCTGTTTCCCAAGATTGAGCTGGGCATTAGGCTTCCCTGCACTTGCCGTTGACAGGGCTGAAGGCAGGGGACGTCGGATCATGTCAATTCCGTCCCTTGAGCAAAGGTTGGAGGCCTGTTGGATGCCACAGAATCTGGGCTCAGGGTTGGAGGGAGGGTGGACCCGGCTCAGCCGGCAAAGATAGTGGCATAAGGAAGCAGTTATGGTTCAGGGTAATAGATGCCAAGAATGGGTGCATGGTGGGGGTCGCAGGAAGGGGAAGGGCTCTGTGGACCTGGGGTGGTGAGGAGAAGCCTCCAGAGAAAGACACATCTAAGCTGCGATGTGAAGGACAGGAGGAGTTAGCCAGGCAGTGGTGGATGTGGGGCTGGGGTAGAGTGCCAAGAAGGGACGGTTGGCACACAGCCAAGTGCCCGGGAGGGAAGGAGGTATCAGCACATGGCCCACAGGTGGTGAGGGGGCGCCGCATGAAGGGAGGATGCCGCAGGGCGTTCATCATGGCTGGCGGGTGTGTAAACTTCCTGGACACCCCCAGCACCAGTCTTTGAAATGTGACAAGGTGGTTGTGTCTCTTTTGTCATTAGTGCCAACAGATCGATTCTGACTCCAGTGCCCCTGTGGACAGCAGGGCAGAACTCGGCCCGGTGTTTTGGCCCATCCTCTCACCTTCTGGCGCTCTGTCAGACAGGGCTCCGCTGCTGTTCACAGGGTTTTCATGGCCAATTTTTTTCAGAACTGGGTGGCCAAATCCTTCTTCCCAGTCTGTCTAGGCTGGAAGCTCCACTGAAACTTGTCCACCGTGGGTGACCCTGCTGGTACGTGATATACTGGTGGCTTAGCTTTCAGCATCACAGCAACACGCAACCACCATAGTGTGACAGCAACACACGGGTGGTGTGACTCCCTGATGGGGAAATAAACCTTGGCCGCAGCAGTGAGAGCACCGAGTCTTAACTACTGACCCCCCGGTGCTGGCCTGGCGTTGGCTGGAGGGCAGTGAGTTAGGTGTGGGGGAGGGAGGTCTCTGGGGCATTGCTGCATCCCGACAGGCCTGGTGCCTCCAAGTTCCCCTTCCCACAGCAGCTCTCTCCATTCATCCTGTTGCTTTTCTGCTCTGGTGTTTATTCCTGAAAATCGCTTGCTTATATTGCTCTTCGCCGAGTTTCAGACTTTAGGTGCCACCTGCTGTCCCCGAGCTCTCCAAGCAGTGTGCACGCACGTTCCGCAGGTAACTCGCTCATGCCCGGTCTGCTTGGTGTGCAGCCCTTCCCTCCTCAGCCTTGTCTTAACGCCAGGCCCTCGTTCACTCCCATCTCCTTCCAGTGTGGTCATCGTGGGATCTGTGCCCTTGTTGGAGACCCTGCCCTCATCTACACTGGGGTTTCCAGGCCCACCGCCAGCTGCCACGCCAGGCTGGCACCCTCATCTGTACCTTCCTCCGTTTGGCCCCTCGTCTAGGCCTATCTCCAGCAGCCCCTGAGAGGGTGGGGGAGGTGGGTGGCTCAGGGCCTTGTGTACCTGCCTTCGTCTTTATCCACCCCCGCTGTTGGTGCTCACTGTCCCTCAGAGATTTCAGAGGCGTTGCTCTGTGGGCAGAGGCACTGCACAGGAGTTGGGTGGCCCTCAGATGGCCAGTTGTCTGCCTTCCCTTCAGTTCCTGAGCCTTCTGGAATTCCATAGGAAGAATCAGATCATCCGGCCTCTACCTGCGTCTGCCCCCGTGGCCCTTAGCAAAGCAGGAAAGCTGAACAAAGTTAGTTATCATTCAGCTTCCCACTTGCCATCTTCCAGAATTCTGTGGACACCAGTTTCATTGGTTTCTGTCGCTGTGTAACAAATTACCACAAACATAGCAGCTTAGAACAGCAGGCTTGTTATCTCAGTGTTTCCATGGGTCAGCAGTCCAGGTACAGGCTGCTGGTCCTCTGCTCAGGTCTCACCCGGCTGCTCCTGCAAGGTCCCTGCTTGTTGGCAGAATTCGGATCCTTGCGGGTGTAGGGCTGAAGCCCTGTTTTCTCACTGGCTGTTGGGCAGGGACCATCCTCTGCTCCTAGAGGCTCCCCTCTGCCAGGAGTTCACGTCAGCTGTTTGCTGTCTTCCACACCAGCAGGAGCGCATCTCTCTGCCTTCCTCTCTGCAGCCAGCCAGAGACAGCTGTGCTTCTGAGGAGCGTGCCTGGTTAGGCGGAGCTGGCCCAATAATTTCCCTTTGCCGTGTACCAGGGTCGCAGGTGGTAGCCGTCATCGACACTGGTCCTGCCACACCTCTTGTCTGCCTGTCGCATCCACATAAATGTGAATCTTTGTTGCAGTGGAGTTTGGGAGGGAGAGAGACTCAGTGCACGGGGTTGACTCCACCATGTTGCACTGAAAGTGTCTACTGATTTTCCCGCTGGTCAAGCCCCAGCCTCCAAACCTCTCAGAAACAGATGAGAACTGTTGTGGCCAAATTGCCTGGTTAGGAATCTACATCCCAAAAGAAAGGAAAATAAGAGACCTATAAGGGAGGCCTTTCTGAAGGCAGATGGTTTGTTAACACCGCGTTGTGAGAAGGGTGTTGGGAGCGCATGCGCCATCTGGAGGCCGCCTTACTCAGCGGGGCTTCAGCTGTTCACCCCAGTGTCTGAGATGTGGGCTGGCCCATGGGGCTGCCCTGCCTCCCGAGGGTTCTGATTCTGCTCCAGGGCAGGGGCTTGAGCTGGTGTGGCTGCTCAGCCAGTGTCACGTCCCCTCAGCTTGGAAGCAGCTTCAGGTGAGGTGCTGGTGACAGTCACGGCTGGTGGGGCTGTGGCAGAGGGATGTGTCCCTTGAGTGTGGGGTTTGGGAGCTCGCTTTCCTGAGTGCAGCTGCGCTTGCTCGCTTCTAGTGCTGCCATTCACGGAGTTACAATGTTTCCTCTTTCCCAAGGTTCTGAAGATTCTGAAGAGGACGACCACATGGAAACATTAGTGGCAGTAGCGGATACTCAGGGGAAGCTAGAAGCCAATGGCGCTTTTAATTCTGATGACGATTCCGAGAGCTGCCCGATTTGTCTCAATGCTTTCAGGGACCAGGCTGTGGGGACGCCTGAGAACTGTGCCCACTACTTCTGCCTGGACTGTATCGTGGAATGGTCCAAGGTGAGGCAGCTTCTCTTTGGGCTTCTTCCTCCCTTCCAGGTGGCCCTTTTCTGTTTAAAGTGATGCAACCTGTGGCCGGCCTCTTGGTGGGTCTGGGTCTCTGCTCTCCCGCAGAAGGTGGTACCGCAGGGTTGAGTCCTGGCTTGGTCTTTGCTTTGTTCCTCACCTTGAGCTCTCGGGGTTGTTGGTGAAGCTCCCTGTGGGGAATGTGCTCGTGACTGGACGAGGAGGCAGGAGGGGGGTGGTTATTCATGGGCCAGTGTCCCCCGGGGGCCTGGCTGCAGAAATCTTGAATGGCCTGGGGTGATGTGTGGGCAGCAGAGTCAGCCTGGGTGCCCGTGTGCGGTGGCCCTGCACAGTGGGATCATCTCATGGGCACAGAGAAAGCATGAGTCATTCAGTGCTGAGTCATGATAACTGGCAATAACAAGGACCGCCCTGAAAACCGATGAAGGAATTCACCAGAAACATGCAGGATGTTTCATGAACTGTAGAAGCAGTACCCCCTTCCTACTTTTTCACTCTTGGTTGTAAAGAATTGCAAAGAAGTAGAATAGTGCAGGGAGGAGTGATGCGGACCGTCGTGCTCATCACTGTCTCCAAGGCCCGTTAGCTCCGCCTGTCTCATTCTCTCTCATCCCACCCAGCTGTCACTTCACGCGTGGAGCGTGTGAAGCTGACAGATCCCCAGCCTGTTATCTCCCCCGGCGAGGTTAATAGTAACAGTCCAGCCTCTGACACCCGCCCTGCCTGCCTCCGGTTTCCCAGGCGGCTCAGAAGCATCCTGTTTGGTGAGCTTGTTTGAACCAGCGTCGTCCACGTGGCTGCGTGGCTGTTGACTGCTGGCTCATCGTGGTGTCGTTTGAGGCATTTCTCTGCCTCTGATACTTCCTGTTTCTGTTCTGTAGTGGTAGATCTACAGCCCAGATTAGATTCAGGTTTAGATTTTTTGGGCAAGCGAAGCCTTCCTTTAAACTGAAGAACACAACACAGTATTTGCTGTTTATTTTCTAGTTGATATTATACTGGATTAGTAGAAGGAGAAAGTAAAGGCATAGGTGTTAGGTAGAAAAAGGCTTTATTTGCAAATGGTGTTTATTAATATAGGTATTTTACAAATGAACTGTTGGGATGTTAAGTTCGGCAAGATTCCTGGATACAAGGTTAACAAAGATTAAAAATCATAGTGTGTTTAGAAATAAGTCATAAAAAGATGTGTAAGACATTTAAAGAGCTTTTCTAAAACATCTGAGACCAAATGAAGAAAGACCACTCTCTGAAAGGGAAGTCTCATTCCAGAGAGATTGGCAGTGGCGATGCAGGTTTACCGAAATCCTACCTGCAGTGTTCAGGGCACTTGATGGATTGTGAAATTCATACAGGAGAGAGAGAAGATACCGAGAATTGCCAAGCGAATTTGGAAAAGGGGAGAAATCTCAAGTGTGGCAGGGGCCTGAAGAGACAGGTGCACACTGGGAGAGGGGGCTCTTCTGTGAACGTGTGTGTGAGGCAGATAAAAAGTGGGCCCAGTTCACCACACACACATGCTGCCATGTGGATTCAAGATGGGAAGTGAGTGATACTTTGAAACCTCAGAAGAAAATTCGGGTGACTGTCAGAGGGTAGGGAAGGACTCTTAACTAGGCGCATGGACAGTCGAAGAAGGGAGGGTTTACAGGTGGGCTGTGAGCACAGGCTTCGTCGGGGAGGAGGCACTGCTACCACCAGAAGACCCAGGTGGAAGGCTGAGCTCACTGCGTGCGGGGGGATGGGAAATGCCGGCCTTCTCTGATGGTGGGGCTAACACATCCAACCACAGGTTAGTGCGCTGTTACCCCATGAGCAGCAGGAGGAAAGCCCATCCGCCCACATTCGTCCCCGGATGTGCACAGCAGCTCCACTTCAGCCCAAACCGAAACAGCCGTGAATGGATAGCCCTGGAGGACCTACCTGGTGGTGAAGAGCACTGTGTGCAACCAGAGCCCTGGCCTGAGCTGGGAAGCCCAGGGAAGCAGAGCAGGGCTAGACAGGAAGGGGAGGGGGTTTAGGGGCGTGGGTGGTCGCTACCTGGGATATAAGTGTGTCAGAACTCATTGAAATACACAGGTAGGATGAGTGCATCTTACTGTATACAGTAGATCCGATAAAGACGACTTAAAACTAAGTACTTACATGTGTCAAAACTCTGTTAATAAAGGCGAGAAGAAAGCATTTGCAACCGCTGTCTGACAAGTATCCACACCATGTAAAGAAATCCTCAAAACTTACTAAGAAATGTCAAGCAGTCTCATGGAAAAATGGACAAAGGATGTGAACAGAGGGCCACGGAGGAGGGGCCCAGCTGGCCAGCGACCCAGCTGTCTGTCTCCCTACTTGATTTCTCTCAGCACTCCCCATTAACGGGCCTGTGCATGTCCACGTGCCCAGCTTCTCACCTCCTCCCCCAGGAGAGCAGCTCCCCAAAGCAGGTTCCTGTCCCATCTCTTCTCTGCTGTGTTCCCAGCAGCCGAGCACAGGGCCTGGCACACACAGGCGTTCAGTAAATACTTGATTTTCGCGTGAGGGGTTTTTGACTTCTAAGTGGATTCTTTACTGCGAGTGTGGTATTAATAGTGAAAGGGATTCTACAGGACTCTGATACAATCTTTATTTCTTACAGAATGCCAATTCCTGTCCTGTCGATCGGACTATATTTAAATGTATTTGTGTTCGAGCTCAGTTTGGTGGTAAAATTTTGAAGAAGGTAAGTGTAGAGGAGCCCCCCCACCAGTGCTGTGTTTCTTGCATTGGTCCCTGTCTCGTGGGAAAACATGCTTGCAGGAGTTGATTTACTTTCCTAAAGTGAGAGAGTGTTGGGCACATGCTTTTTAGAAATCTGCTACAATGGCATTTGCAGGCGTGAGCGTGGAACCTGTTCCTGGAGGTGCTGCCCTGCCCGCCTGGCCCTGTGGGTTCTGGGTGGGAAGGCAGGTGGGGAATCGAGGGGTGGTACAGGTGAGGGCTGTCTCTCAGACTTCCTGTCTTCTCTCCCGCACGCCTTTTCTACATCTCAGAGCCTCTCTCTTGAGCCACTGGGCGTTAGGGAAGCTCTGGGTGGAGCCTGGACCTGGGAAAGGAGACTGGTTCTCCTGGGACCAGATTTCTGCGAGTCCTTGGCAGGATCATTTGCCATGAGGGCTAAGGATGAAGAGGGGTTTTCCTCTGCTCTTAAGTGCTTGCTCTTCATGTCTGCTGTTGAGAGACTTGAAAGGCCTCCACACGTCTTCTATGGTGGAGGAGTAGCATTAGAAGACTCGTGGAGACACGCCTTCAGTCTTCTAAAGACTCAGAAGGCAGGCCTCCGAGTGTCTTGTAGCCGTAGGGCTGCTTTTTATTTTCAATGACACAGAGCCCTAGCTGCGGGTACTCTGGCTCTCTGTATGAAATTCCTCCTGGAGACTGGCCTCCTCGCGCTGTGCTGGTCTGTGCTGGAGCTGGCCGCTCAGGTTCTGCTGGCTCAGGCCTGCCGCCTCCCGTCCCGCTCTCTGCGTCCTCCCCTAGAGCCTGGGCCTGGGCAGCCAAAGGCCATGGGGCGTGTTGGCAGTCTCCACGATGGCAGTCTTCATTAAGTAAATTACCTGGAGAGTCTGCCTGCTGAGTGTGTGGGTCCTGAGCTCCTCTCCGTGTGCAGGGAGATGCAGGGCCCGAGAGTCCCGGTGACACACGAGCTAGTCCAGCTGGAGGAACAGATCTGAGAATGGCTCCAGGGCCAGCACAGAGTGGGGGTTGGCAGGAGGACCCTGGGTCCCCGCAGGCAGTAGAATAAAGGCAGAGAGCAAGGCTGGGGCATGTCACCTGCAGTGGGGTGCTGAGGAAGTGAAGAGCAGAGGCTGTGTTCCCCGGGGTGGGGGTGGGGAGTCAGCAGGAAACAAGGGTTGCGGTGGAGGTGGTGGCTCACTTGAAGAGGGTGTGTCCACGGACCCTGCATAATCACAGCCTGATTACTTATGCCCCCGAGAATACCTGTAAGCTGGGGGGTTCTTTATAGCTGTGACTGTCAAGGGGCAGCAGCAGAGTCAAGTGTCATTTTTCAGAGTCATGTTTCCGTGTCTTTGCTTGATTATATGACGGTTTTCGGGAAGTTAAAGGCCTGTGACTTGAACCTGCTTCCCTGTCTCCGCACTCGGGCTCTGTCTCGTGCGTGTTGTGCGGGGTGTGTGGCGCGGGCCACCTGCCAGCCTTGGTGCCCCGGGTGCTCACTCTGCTCCCATGGATCATACTTTGTTTTCTGTTGCATTGTTGTTCTCTCTCAGTTAACTACCCTAAAATGGTCAGAAAACGTAAAAATCACTGTATGCATGTTAACTTAGAATCTCTGGGCCTGTGGAGCCCATATCGATGTTAAGAAGCTGAGTAATCTGCTCTGGATCAGCTGCAAATCGTGATGTAAATTGGCCCTGGGATCTGGGTGTCATTTGCTGTGTGATCAGCAGTGCTCCTCTGTCTGCAGATTCCGGTGGAGAATGCTCGAGCGGGAGAGGACGAAGAGGAAGACCCTACCTTCTGCGAGGTGTGCGGGAGGAGTGACCGGGAGGACCGCCTGCTCCTCTGCGACGGCTGTGACGCTGGGTGAGCATGGGGCCCCTGCTGGCCTGTCCACGGGTGGCACTCCTTCCTGGAGCTTGAGAGGCGGATGGAGGCGGTGTCCCCTGACCTGTGGGAAGTCAGTCTGAACTGCTGAGCCCAGCCTCTGAGACTGGGTTTCTTTCTTTTTTTTTTTTTTTTTTTTTTTTTTTTAAGATTTTATTTATTTATTTATTTTTCCCCCTAAAGCCCCAGTAGATAGTTGTATGTCATAGCTGCACATCCTTCTAGTTGCTGTATGTGGGACTCGACCTCAGCATGGCCAGAGAAGCGGTGCCTCGGTGCGTGCCTGGGATCCAAACCCGGGCCGCCAGCAGCAGAGCGCGCGCACTTAACCGCTAAGCCATGGGGCCGGCCCTGAGACTGGGTTTCTAATGACCCCGTTAGAGGCAAGTCCTGCAGGCCTCTGTTCCACGCTCGTGCCCACAGCTGTGCACCACTGGGCTCAGTGACACGAGGGCCCCACACCCAGTGGTGCGCCCTCCTGTCCCCAGTGCGCTGGCTCTGTCATGTCGAGGTTGGCAGCCAGCAGGCACCACAGGCTCTTTTTCCTATCGCCATTTAGACACTCTGTCTGGGCCGCCCCGTGGCTTAGCAGTTAAGTGCGCGCGCTCCGCTACTGGCGGCCCGGGTTCAGATCCTGGGCGCGTGCTGATGCACCGCTTCTCCGGCCATGCTGAGGCCGTGTCCCACATACAGCAACTGGAAGGATGTGCACCTATGACATACAACCATCTACTGGGGCTTTGGGGAAAAAAAAAAAGGAGGAGGATTGGCAATAGATGTTAGCTCAGAGCCGGTCTTCCACAGCAAAAAGAGAAGGATTAGCATGGATGTTAACACAGGGCTCATCTTCCTCACAAAAATAAATAAATAAATAGATACTCCGCCTGTTCCCTCCCCAGAATATTCTGAGCTCCTTACAGAGATGCACGTAGTACATCAAGACAAAAAGAAGAAGGGCGAGGAAAACACGAGGAATTGGGTTGTGGGCCTGGCCCGCAGGCCTAGGGGCCAGGGGCGGGGAGGGAGGCGGGCGTCACATGCTGGACCCGCCCCCTCTGCAAGGCCAGGGCACCCGCAGGAGGAGGGGCCTGTGACTGCGTCCCCTGCTGCTTGTCTCCCTGGAACCTGCTTCCCAGCCACACTGCTGGTGACTGCTGGATCCGGTGAGCCCCGGCTCCGGGAGCCTCGTATTGTCCACTGTCACAGCGTCATCTCCTGGTTTCAGTCAGGCCCACCTCCGTGGTGGGTTCACTGTACGTCTGGAGGGTTTTCCTGCTGTAAAACTGTGGTGAGAGGATTAGGGAAATCTTCCTCTTGGGACATACACCCTGAAAGGTAGTGAAAGAATTCAGTGAGCCTGGTAGATCTGGAACTTTCTCTTGGGCAAAAAGGAGCAGTTTCGAGGGCTGGGCTGTGAAGCAGCAAGAGGTGGGAAGGCGCGACCCTGGTGGCTGGGCGCTGGCCCTGGAGGACGGGTGCCCGTGGAGGCACTTGAGTTTGCTCCAGTGCACTGTCCCCCGCCTTGACTTGGCCTTCGACCACCTCACTCACCGGTCACCTCCCACACCATGGGTCACTTGCTCACTCCCCTGGCTGCGTGTTTGCAGTTGGCGTTTATCTTCCTATGACTCTCTTTCATCAGTCCACCCTCCGCAGAGCCCATGGAAAGGAGTCCTGACTGCCTGCTCTGATTCAGGGGCCTTAGCAGCGTCTCCCACCTCCCTCTCCAGCCCCCACCCCCTGGGCTTGCACAGTCAGGACGTCTTGTCCTCCCTCCTTTTTCACAAGTTTTAGTTTGCACCCACGTCTTGTGACAATTTACTGAATGCTCGACCTTGGCCATCTTGGCCTCTCGGTATTCCTGGAAGTTGCTGTGTCTACAACTGATTGTCCCCTTAGCGTGCGTTGTCGCTGTGAATCTGGAGGGCAGGAGTGGTGCCTTGGGTGTCCCCAGGCCTGTGAGTCCAGTGCTCTGCGCTTGCCACTGCTGTGCTTAGTGACTGAGTGTCAGCAGGAAGCTGAGTACAGTCTCATGGGCACATGGGGCCGAGAGGACACAGGGCTTAGTACTCAGTGCTGTGTACATGCAAAACCTGTCCTTCCCTGTCATTACAGCTGCTCTGGGCATGTGAAGGAAGGGCTGGAACAGCTGGATGCTGCAAGAGAGGCCATGAGTGGTGGGAAGGAGAGTCCTGGTCCCCACCCCAATGTGGCCCTTGTCACTGGCCCTGCCTTCGCTGCCCCTCCCCTCCCGAACTCGTGTGCCTTCTTGTGGCCTCTGGGGTGGCTGTGAGCCACGAGAGGCTGTCGGAGCTCTTACTCACAAAGCCTCGTGTTTTCCTTAAACTTTTTTTCTTTTCTTTTCTTTTTTGTGAGGAAGATCAGCCCTGAGCTAACATACATGCTAATCCTCCTCTTTTTGCTGAGAAAGACCGGCCCTGAGCTAACATCTATTGCCAATCCTCCTCCTTTTTTCCCCCCCCCATAAGCCCCAATGGATAGTTGTCTGTCATAGTTGCACATCCTTCTAGTTGCTGTATGTGGGACGTGGCCTCAGCATGGCCGGACCAGAGGTGCGTCGGTGCATGCCCGGGATCCGAACCCCCGAACCCGGGCCGCCAGTAGCGGAGTGCACGCACTTAACTCCTAAGCCACGGGGCCGGCCCTCCTTAAACTTTTAAATTGAGCCTACAATTCTCTTATTTTATCTGTGGGATGCCTCCACAGCATGGCTTGACGAGCAGCGTGTAGGTCTGCATCCAGGATTTGAACCTGCACACCCCAGGCCGCTAAAGCAGAGCATGCAAACTTAACCACTACGCCACCAGGCCGGCCCAAGCCTACAATTCTTACAATTCTGTTAATTCTTTGCATCAGGATCTGTTTTTAATTCTATTAACTTTTAACAGTGACCCTTGAGGACTTTTATAAATTCATTAAATTCTTTTTACTATTGTAAAATACATTTACAAATATATTGATTTTCTTCTCACTTGCTTGAATTATTTAACAGATAAAACAACCCAAGTACGTAAAAATCCTGATGGATCTAAAACATTAAAACTAATAAATATAGTGATTCTTCTACCCATCCTCACACTGTTAATATTTGCAGTCTGCTAAATTTTCTTACAGTTAGCTCATTCAACTTAAAAATCACAAGTCTAAAGTTACTTCATTACTCTTTTTAAAGTGGAATCACAAGGCTGTCTGTAGACGTGAATATGTCAGATTCTTTCACTATTGCATGAAATAAAATATAGATCATTTCTGATTTTTTTTTTTTTTTAATTTAGAATCTAATTTAAAGGTGTTTATTCACTCAGGAGAGAGGTCGGGACCTCACCGTGCCGCATAGCTGGGGCCGTCCCCGTTCTGGGCAGGCTGAACCCTGGCAGAGTGGCGCACTGAACCCAAGCACTGTGGGCCCTGTCCTGGTGGCGATCACACAGCTCTCCCATGTTTGAGTCCACAGCCAGTCTCCTCCTGGAGTGACTTGCAGTGGATGCAGGCTGGCTGAACTGGGCGCCTGTCATGCCACTGGTGGCCTCTGCTGGCGGCCCTGGAGCTTGGTGAGGGGAACATCAGTTGAGCCACGTTGGCTCCTTGGAATGCTTTGTGAGAAGTGACCACTCGGCTCTTGACTTGGTTCCCGAGACCACGTAGGGAGGACTTGCTCAGGGTTGGGATCTCCGTGGGGTTCTGGCGTGCTCCCAGTACTTGGCGCTGGCCTAGACTTGCTGGGTTGCGTTCCAGGAGGAGTCGCCTCCCCTGCCTCTGTCCCCCTGGTTCTCGTGAGGTCCCAGCGAGGAGGTCATGGAGGGAGGGTTCTTCCTGTCGGTCTGTGTCTCACAGGTCCTCACAGGATTCAGCGCTGGATGTAGCACGTGGTTATTCAGCTGATTTAGCTGGGTCTGGGGTCTTTAGGGAGTTAGCGTGGTGTCCACTTTGGGTTTTGCCTGGCTCAGGGCTATGGTCTTGGATGAAGTTTGGAGAATCCTGGCACAGACAGCCCACACCCGCAGCGGCTCCTCCCAGACTTTCCTGGAAGACTGGGTAGAAGCCACTGGAAGATAAAGTACGTCACGCCATTTCTGCTTCCCTGCAGCAAACGCCTTTCACTCTCATCAGCTCCTTAGGCTAGATTGTGAGGTGTGGGTGCCAACGCCTGCGCTGCTGGGCACTCGGAGTGCCGGCTGGCGGGGGGCGGCGGGAGGTTATCAGAGACTACCACCCCGGTGTCGGTGGGCACACAGCACCTGCCCCAGTTGGAAGGACGGAGCCACCCTGGGTCGCACTGCCACGTTCTTATTCACTCCCTCCACGTGGTTGTCTCCTGTGGAGAATCTGGGGACCGAGAGGGCCCCCTTTGGAGGGCAGACACCCATAGCATGCGGTGGAGGTCTGTCCACTCGGGGTGCCGGCAGGCAGGACTGCGGGAAAGGTAGAGACGAGCGTTCTGAGTTTGAAGCACGCGGACCTCTGAGCAGGCTGGTGTCCGCCATGTCCACCAGGTGGGGTGGCAGAGCCCGAGGGGCTGGCAGGTCGGGGTCTGGCAGAGGCTCTTCTTGACTGCAGGTGGCACCTTCTCACTGTGTCCTCACTGGCTCTCCTCTCACTGGGAGAGGGAGCTTGTGCCCCCCCCCACTTCCAGGGACACCGGTCCTGGATCAGGGCCCCATCTTCATGACCTCATTGGACCCTAATCGCCCCCCAAAGGCCCCGTCCCCACATGCAGTTGCTTTGGGGGTTAGGGCTTCAGCATATGGCTTTGAGGGGACACAGTTAAGTCCACAGCAGGGTGCAGTGCAGTCTTGGGTGCCTTTGGATGCCTGCTTTGAGGTTCGCTGGGTTGCGACGGTGAGGCTGGGGACGCTCGTTTGACCGGCACCGCCGTGTCCCGTAGGTACCACATGGAATGTTTGGAGCCCCCTCTTCAGGAGGTGCCGGTGAACGAGTGGTTCTGCCCAGAGTGTGCTGCCCCTGGAGCTGCCCCTGCCGCAGGTACGCCTTGCCTCCCTCTCATGCCGAGCCCAGACCCTTCTCGGCATCTCGGCATTGGGTCCACAGGCCCAGAGGAGGGCTGGGGGCGGGACTTACTGTCTCCTGGGGAGAACTTCTAGGGCTTTCCTTCAGGGGCACGGCTTTCCGTTGCGCTGCTGGGTGGGAGCTGGAGGAGCATGGCTGTTTGCAGCTGTATGTGGGGTCAGCAGATTTGGGGCTTCCGGCCCTGAGGGTCCAGGCTCCAGGGGCCCCCTGCGTCCTGTCCCTCAGAGGGCGTGCACATCGGCCCCGGATTTTCTTTCTTCCAAGACGCAGGTCTTGTGAGTCAGGAGGAGGTCTCCTTGCTCTTGGCCGATGTGGTGCCCACCACCAGCCGGCTTCGGCCGCGCGCAGGGAGGACCCGGGCCATTGCCAGGACACGGCAGAGTGAGAGAGTCCGAGAGACCGTGAACCGGAACCGGATTTCCACTGCCAGGAGGATCCAGGTAGGTGTGTTCCACACTGTGGCTGCCCACAGTGCTGCAGGGCAGCTCTTTGCTCGGCCCCTCAGGTGGCTGCACCCTGTCCTGCTGCTCCTCAGCTGCCTGATTGCTCAGGGCAGTGGGCGTGCAGGAGGGTGCGGTCAGCAGTGCAGGGTCTGTGGCTCATGGCCCTCGGCCTGTCAGGGGCGCAGGTGGTGTGTCTGGGGTGCTGCTTCCTAGCCCACGAGCAGGGAGCGATGCTGAGCAGGCCTGAGGCATCAGGAGCAGAGCTCTGGTCCCAAGGGTGCCAGGCAGTGGGGCCTGACCTGTGGAGGGGCCGAGGTGTGGTTGGTGACCTTGGTTCCCCTAGGCCCCACTTCACCTCCCTCAGTATTCCCCTACGTCAGCGCCCCGTCCCTGGAGGTCACACGGCACAGCAGCTCCTGGTGCCTCAGTGTTAGATGTACATCCACATGTGTTTCCTGCAGGGGGGCTGCGCGGTGAGGGGCAGTGGGCGTTGCTTTCCTAAAGTCAGGGTGTTTGTCTGTGGGAAACCTAATACTGAACTGAGAATGAGTTGAGAAGACTTTGTGGGAACCTTCGGCTCCGGTACCCCCATCACAGACGCCACTCCCACCACCTGTGTTCTCAAAGTGGACGCCTCCGCCCAGCATCCCCCACGTCCTTTGGCTGCTCTTTCCTGCCCGTATCTTGAGTCAACTCCTCTCTGATCCAGACACCCTTCCCTTTCCCTGTCTCCCATTTGCCGTGGGCTGTGCGGCTCTGCTCAGCGCCCCTCGGCCCTGGGCTGTGCAACTCCTTCCACTCATGCACTTGGGGCTCCGTTGGCTCCTTGCAGCCTGCCTGCCCCTCCTCATCCTCCGTTCTGGCCCTGAACTTGTTTCTCAAGAGGCCTTCCCAGACCCCACTATCCACCCAGGCGCGTCTTCCAGGCCCAACTGCCCTTGGGAAGCGCTCAGCGGTTTGTCTGCTGGAAGCAAGAAGGTGATGCCAGCTGGGCCTGCTGCGGCCAGGCTTAGGGCATCCAGCTTCTAGAGTTGGCTTGGCAGGTGTGCTCAGGGCTCCCTTGAGGGGTCTGAGGTGGTGTCAGCCTCCCGACTGCCACCCTGCCCAGGGGTCCTCTCTGGGGAAAGTGTGGTGTGTGAGAGAACCTGGAGGGCAGCTGCCCTGCAGACCGGTGCCGTCCTTTGCTGTGTAGCATGTCCCAAGGTACCTCATGTCTTCTGTGCTGGACGAGACCATTGAAGCCGTCGCCGCTGGTCTGAGCACTGCCGTGTATGAGCGCCCCCTGACGCCTCGAGCTCCCACCAAACGGAGGAGGAAAACAGGTACGTCTGGGCATGGTGGCTTGGGCTGTGTCCCTGACGGCAGCAGCTGCGCCCCGGAGGGCAGCGGCTGGTCAGTTCAGCCTCTGCAGCCTCATTTTCTCGGGTGGCCACAGTACCACATGGACGCCCCTCCCAGCCAGGTGGGTCTGGTCTGGTCTGTCCCTGTAAATACCCCATGAGCAGTGCAGTCTGTGCAACCACCCCGTCTGCATGTGCATCAGGGTGACACTTGCCACCCTGAGTCATTGAGGAATGTTCTGGAGGACTTGGTGGAGGAACTGCCTGGTTTCTTCTCCTGATGCGACAGCGCGCCTGTGTCACCTGAGCTGAGCTCCTCCGTGTGGGGATAGTTGAAATGACGACTCAGGGTCTTCGCTGGTTAGTCAGGTTTCCCAGTCCTGCTCTGTATTAGTCTCAGTGACCCTGTCCTGGTAAGTTCCGTTCCTCCCGGGGGACGGATAGGTGTCTCCTGGGGAGGGCACGTCTTGCTCCTCACCACGCCTCCGTCCCGCTGGCACAGTGCTGAGCACTTCTAGCTCCGGGTTCCGTCTCTCTGCCTTAGTTGGCTTTCTACTCTGAGGAGGAGCTTTCCCTCTCCCCTTGGTTATTCATTTAAATCAGAGTAGACTTACGGACTCCTGTTTCGTTCAGTGGGTTCTGATCTGTGGTCTTTTAAAAACCAGCGTTATTGAGATACACATACAGTACAGTGAGTGCCTCAGCCCCACGTGGCTCACCCTTCCAGCCAGCGCCCCCGGGTCACCCCGGCATCCTTGTTATCACTGGATGTATGTTAGTTTTGCCTCTTCACGAACTTCGTGTAACAAGACCTTTGTAAGGTTCCGAGTGTGTGTGCTGGGTGGTTGCTCAGCACAGTGATTTTGGAGTCGATGAGGTTGTGTGTGTCTGTGGTTAACTTCTGTTTATTGTTGAGGAGTATCCGGTGGCCTGAATACACCGTGGTTTGTTTGTTTATGTGGTGGGCGTCTAGTTGTGTTCTCCGGGGGGCTGTGAGGAGAGAAGATGCTGTGCGCGTCCTGGTGCAAGTCTTTCTGCAGGCAGGTGTTGCTGTTCCTCCTGGGGGAGCAGAGAGGAGTGGACTGGTTGCCTCACGGGTGAACGTGCGTGGGCGGCCGTGTGCCGACTTACACTCTGCTTAGCAACATCAGAGCTATAGTTGCCCCACCTTCTCGCCAGTGCTCGGAAGAGTCGGGCGTGTGTCCTCACCACACCCATGGGCACAGAGCAGTCTCGTCGTCATGGGTCTCCTCAGCAGGTCCTGCTGGTATCTTCCCCCCAATGGTGCTGTGACAGCTTTGTTGCTTCTGGATTTGCTGCAAGTTGGCAGGCCTGTCTTCATGTGGCTCACTCGGGCCCCTGTAGGGAGCTCTTGCCCTCCCTGTGAGAGCTGGAACTTAGAGACCAGGTCTGAGCTCGGCGAGGCTCCCCAGCCGGTGGCTGGCATTGTTCTAGCCCTTTTTAGTGGACAGAACTAGGAAATGTGTCATAAGGTCATACCAATTCTTGAATTAAAATTCAGGATTAGAGGGGTTTTACGTCTTGTGTCTTACACGTGTGTCTCCTTTTTCTCACGTCAGAAACCCCACCTCTCAGTGCTGACACTGCATTGCTCATTTGGCTCATCCCACTCACGGAGACAGTCTCAGAATAGAAATCCCAGATGGCTGCCAGTGCTGTGGTTAGAGCTGGGCGTGTGGATGTTCCCCCTCGTCCCTAACGCATATCCCACTAAGGGTGTGACGCGCAGAAAAGGTCCCTGTCGTTTGGTTACGCCACATTGGCTTCATTTTGCTTTGCTAGTGAATTTTTTGCACTTTATCCAGACTTATGTCAAACCTGTGGAATTGTGGGGAGACATGGATAGTGAGCCCACTTAGCCAGCCATCACTGGCTCTGGCCCTCCTGGCCACTTCTGCCTCGTCTCTGCCCCAACTTCCTCCTCCCGTATCATTTTGAAGCAAGAGCTTCAATATTTGCAGTATATCTAAAAGAGGGAGTCTTTCTTCTTAATTTAACCGCAGTACTGTTGTCATGCCTGAGAAAACGAAGAGTAATTCCTTGATACCATGAAATAGGCAGTCACTGATGAAAGTTCTAATTGTGTCATAAATGTGATAGAATTCTAAAAACTAGTTTATTTGAATCCAGAGGCAAACAAGATCCATGTTGCGCTGGTGGCTGTTGTGCTTGTTAAGTGTCTGTGTCCTCTTGGTTGTGGAAGAAGCCAGGCCTTCTGTCCTGAAGCATCCCTCCCAGTCCGGTTTGCCCCCCGCACCGTGGGTAGCCGGCCGCCGGCCTTGGCCCTTTGCAGCCTGGTAGCTGGGGCTTGGAGGCTGCGCAGGCTCAGGGGGTGTGGTTTGTTTGCTTTAGTGTCTGCATGCTGCCTGGGGGGAGGTGTATTTCAGAGCTCAGGGCTCAGCTCCCTGAGCTCACTGAGGAGGGTCAGGAGAGGCTCATGCTGCACCAGCTGCTTCCCGGGCGTGTGGTTTTTATGCACAAAGCCAACTGATAAAGCCTCGGCCTGTTCCCTTTATCTGCTGGTTCTGTGGACCATGGAGTTGCTTAGCAGCATCCTTCAGTGGACATCAGTGAGGGTTTTAGCATCCTTGTGAACTCAGGGATTTAGATGTATTTGATGTGTCTTAGCTGCATACATCACGAGGCCAGCCCCTGCGGTCTGCCGTGGATCCCCCTTCCTCCGTGTGGGGCTTCCTGTGGATTTCCAGGGGATGTTGGAGCCTCACAGGATGCCTGGAGCTGCTTTCCACTGAGCCCAGAGCAGCACCCCCAGGATGACTGAGGGCAGGGCTGACACTGGCCCTTCTGCAGTTTCCTCTTTGGGATACGTTTTACTGGGAATGTCCAGTGAAGTCCTTCGTTTTCAGGTCTCCTGGGCGAATCTCTGTGGTTAGACCACCAAGTGGGTCCAGCGCTCGGTCGTCATTCCATTTTACTCTCCGTCATCACAGTTTGTTCTGATTTAATTTTGTTTCGTAATTACTTGAAGTACTTAGTGGTTCTAAAAGTCAGATCTGCTAATCAAAGTAGATTCCACAGTCCCCGCTCCGTGCTGCCTTCCCTCACCCTCCTCCACAGGAAGTATTGTTTTTTAAGTTATGGTTTAGTTTTCCATTTAAAAACCCCAAGCCGGTGTGCACAGTTGTCCATGTGCCACGTCCCGGAGGGGGACGCCCAGGGCGGGGCCTCTGCACGCAGTGCAGCACTGCCTCTCCGTGTCCTCTTTGTAGGAAGACGGAGGAAAGCATCGGGGAGAAAGAAGACCCCACCGACAAGCAAGAGGAACTCTGGCACAAGGTCTAAGAAACGCCGGGGCCGTGTGAGGAGGAGGACGGGCAAGAAGAGAAAGGTACCATCTAGGGGTGGCAAGCACTCTGCCCTTTGATCCCCCTGTGGAGTTACATAGTGGGGTCACAGAAAGAGCCTGTCTTCTGTATCTACTTAGAGATTCACTGATAAAAATGAACACTTCTGGAGCCAGCCCTGATGGCTTAGTGTTAAGTTTGGCACGTTCCACTTCGGCGGCCCGGGTTCGGTTCTCGGACATGGAGCCACACCGGCCATCTGTCAGTAGCCATCCTGTGGCAGCGGCTCGTATATAAGAACCAGAAGAACTTACCACTATAGACAACTGTGTACTGGGGCTTTTGGGAGTGGGAAGGAGGAAGAAAAAAAAAGGTTGGCGACAGATGTTAGCTTAGGGCGAATCTTCCCTTGCAAAAAAAGAAAAAAAAAAGGAAACCCAGGAGGAGAAGCAGGAAAAAAACCGAACACTTCTGCAGCATGGATCGAAGATGGACTGGGACGTTTTCCAAGACCCTTGGAACCAGGCGTCCTGAGGGGTTGTGCGTGACTCCTGGAGCCCCGGGGGGGGCGGCCCTGTGGGGCGCAGAGGAGCAGGCAGGCCAGAGGCTGTGGAGGGGCCAGGCCGTGGCCAGCAGCCTGTCAGGGAGTCAGGTGGATGGTATCTGGAGTACAGGAGCCACATGGGGCGAGCTGAGAGAGAACTGCGGGCAGAGGCCCCCAGGGCAGAGCGTCTCTCCTGGAGTGTGCCGCGGGGCGTGCAGGCAGAGCCGAGCCTGGCCAAGGTGACTCGAGAGGGATGTGTGTGGACAATGCCCGCTTCAGGTCATTCCCCATCCTGAGGTGCCCCCCTCACTGGGCTCTCAGAGTGCCCTCCTTCGTGTCTGAGCGGCCTGCGTTGTGTGGCCCTTTTCTGAAGTGCCTTATCTTCCCTCCAGCTGCTGGGCTGGGCAGTTAGAGCGTTTCAATGCATAAAATAGAAGACGCTGAATGCACCCACTGCTCAGGGGTTTGCTGCGTCTTTACGTGAATTTATACTCCAGGTTGTTACTGTTGCGGAGTTAATGTAAATTCACGTAGTATGTGATTATGTAAAACTCTATTTTAGTAAGTGCAGTATGTGAACCTGTGGTCTGTTGTTCATTCAGACGCAATTCGTGTAGGGAGCAGGAGCCAAAGCTGTGAGCCCTCTCGGGCGCTGGCGGGACAGGGACCTGCCTTCCCGCCCCCCAGCCTGGCACAGCCCTCACATCCAAGCCTGGGGCCTGGCCGCGGGTCGGTGGCTCCTCTGCCAGCGTGCTCCTGGGCTGGGCCCCAGCATTCCGGGAGCCCCGCCCGAGCCAAGGGGGGCTGTGCTGGGAGTGGCTCTGTCCCCTGATGCCTACTCCCTGAGCAGTGGTAAAATCAGCCGTCACCTCAGTCATCAGTTGGTGCTTTGTTTCCCTGGGCAAGAGTGAGTGCTCAGAACAAATCCCCCTGCCGACAGCTCTGCGGGAATGTTCTGAGGTGGATCTGTGGTGTGTGGGTCGTGGGTGTCCTGGGTGTGTGCTCGCTCTGTGGTTCAAACCTTTACAACGTTGTGGTTAATATATGCGAGGCCCTTTTTCTTTAGTTTTGCATTTACTCAGCCTGGTGTTGGATGTTGCTAAGTGATACTTGAAATGGTGTTTTCTAGAACCTTTAGATGTCAGTCTTATTGATCGCTTGCTCTTTGTTACTTCGGTTCAGAATGAAGTCACAGCTCGTTCTCGCATTGCGCGGACGCTGGGCCTCCGGAGGCCAACCCGCGGAGCCTGCATCCCGTCCGTGTACAAGCCCGCAGACCCCTCTCTGGGGCTGATGCGTGCAGACATCGGAGCAGCCTCTCTCTCTCTGTTTGGAGACCCCTATGAGCTGGACCCCTTTGACAGGTGACTGCAGGGGGAGTGGTCCTGCAGGGGCACCATCTGCAGAGTTGAGGAGCTAGGGGTCACCTCCTTTCTTTCTTTCTTTTTTTTTTTTTGTAATTTATATTTATTTATTTATTTTTCCCCCAAAGCCCCAGTAGATAGTTGTATGTCATAGCTGCACATTCTTCTAGTTGCTGTATGTGGGACGCGGCCTCAG